GCCGGGCCCTGCCGTGAGGCCCTGCCCTGACACAGGCGCTTTCCCAGGAGCTTTCCAGCCCCACAGCGGTGACAAAGCCACCTTTGCTGCCTCCCCGCGCAGCACTGCCCGGTGACCCCCCGCGAGGATCTCCTGCGGCACCCCGCCTCTGCCCGCCGGGAATACCGGCTTTCTCCCAGCAGGCTGCGGTGGGACGCGTCAGCCCAGGCACGTTCATGGGAGCCAGGGATCGGAGCATCCCCAGGGGGCTTGGCTGGAAGCGCTGCCAGCGGGGGGGGAGAAGCTCCATCTCGAAAACCTTCTCCTGCTCTTGCTGACACCCCCATGCGGGTTTGCTCGGCCGGCGCCAGCCTGCGGGGCCAGGGAAAGCTGCTGCTCAGGAAGTTATGAGTGGGATGGCACTGGGGAGCTCTGCCTCTGTCGGTTTTGTATCGTCGGATGGGATGTTCCCAGCTATCGCGATGGAGAGGGGAGGAGAAACCCTCATGTGTGTGACAGGCACTTGCCGGGTGGTGAATTTAAAACGCCTGGTCCCCTCTTTGGAGCCGGAGCTTTGCTCTGCTCGCCCCACGGTCCCCTCTAGCCCGGCCTTGGCTGCGGCAGGACCAGGCGATCATGCTTACACACCGCTGCCTGCCCCTCTCCCTGCACAGGCAGCGGGGCTGCTGGGGGACAGACCTGCCTCTGCCTTGCCCTCTGCAGCACCACGGCACCCCGCCACCGCCGGGCTTCATGTGAGAGATGGCGAATGCCGAAGTGAGCGTCCCTGTGGGTGATGTGGTGGTTGTACCAAGTGACGGAAACGAAGGGGAGAACCCGGAGGATACCAAAACCCAAGTGATCTTGCAGCTCCAGCCAGTGCAGCAAGGGTGAGTTGGATGGTACTGGTGTGTCTGGGAGGTGCGGGGTGGGGTGAGGGACAACGTCCCTGTAGATTTTTGTGGTGTGGGGACTGAGCGTCGATGCATTTTCCAGGTCTGCGTCGGTTTTGTGCCACGCACGGTAGACAGAAAAATCAATGCGAAAAAGCTTTTGTGCATCTCGCTGTCACGGGGCCTCCGAGGACTGAAATTGTCCTGTGGGGACGTGCCTCCCTGATGCTGTCTCTGTGGATCGCGGCAGCCCGGCGCTGGCTGTGGCAGTGGGGAAGCGGCGAGGTGGTCACGGTGCCGCCCCAGCCACGCATCCTCCTGCTCTCCCTCTTCCCTCTTCAGCCCCAGGGTGGATTTTTACAACACTGCAGCTGCTGTACGTGGTGGTCTGTGCCCGTGCATCCAGATCCGCGTATGCCTCTGTGCCAGCTTTCCCCTAAAATAATCCTCCTCTAAAATACAATGAAGCTGGGATGTCAGAGGGAATTTTGCGGTACCCGTGGCAGCTGCTGCGGAGAAGTGGCTGGCAGCAGGCACTTCATCTTAACTATTGATCAATCGGGACATAAATATACTGGCTCCGGTTGGATAATACTCGTGGGGCAGGGCAGCTGTAGGCCTGGCAGTGACTCTTCCCTGCGTGATCACCCGTGCTGCAGTGTCACGCAGGGCTGGAAGGAAAATCCTGGGGCGTTGAGCTCTGCTTCCTGTTGTCGTGGGTAACTGCCTGTAGCAGAAGCCAGAGGAGAAGGCACAGCGAAGCGCACTGCAGAGCTGCTTCTGTGGTGCTGGCAACGTGGAGGGTGCGATGACAGGACTGGGAACGCCGCTGCGCGTTTCAGTCCTTGGGATTATTAACGTATTTTGTATGTGCCAAAAAAATGCCTGTGATTGAAACTGTATCAAACGAAATCCACGTCCCTGGAGGACAGGCAAGAAAGAAACGAATCAAATTTTTAACCCTGTGCTGTGAATCTTAGTTTCCTGTGATTTATATAGTTTGTTTATGGATGGCTGCTTTCACAACAGGATTTACCAAGAGGGCTCTGAGGCCAGTGCCGCCGTAGTGGCCGTGGAAACCCACACCATCCACAAGCTGGAAGAAGGGATTGGTGAGTTCCCACTTGGCATGGGCAGAATCCCCTCCTCTGCAGGGCTGGTCGCTGCTGAGCTGGTGTCTCCAGTTCGCTGGGCTTCCTTCTGGCTCTGCCCCTGCAGATGCTGTTTCCTGGGCATGGATGTGGGTGCAGGGTCTGGGCATACTCTGGAATAAGAGTCTGCTGTTACTGCTTGGTCTCAAAGTCCTGGAACTAAGATCCTGGCTCTCCTGCAATGAATGGTAAGGGCTCCCACAGGGTCCAGGGGAGCCGAGATTTCACCCTAGTCTTGGTGTGCGGACACTAGCAGGCAGGAAGGACAGTTATGAGGAT